AATCAATTATTTTTTAGGGATTGTGGGGTGCATGTTGCGGCATACGTAGAGTTTCTGAGCACTATTGGTGAGATTCCACAAATAACATTTGATTCCAATCTACTCCGTCAAAGATATGGTGCTCTCCTCTGGGACTATGCTATGCGGAAGATAGACACTAATGCCATAAGCGAGAATGAAGCACCCTCAAAGATTGCTAGGCAAATCACGGAGTCAGATTCAAAGATGTAGATAGTGTTAGGGTAGCTTTAGGTTAATGTAATTTTGGAATGTAGTTTGAAGAAGAATACTGTTTTGAGTAGTTTTTTTGGTGAAGATGGTATTTAGTTAGGAAAACTTATCACTTTATCAATAGTGTTCGTGTATGACAATTGCAACTTTTCAATCGTTGTTTCACTGGTTTGTTCATAAGTATTCATGCTTATTCTTCAGTTTGAATTCATATGTATCTTACAGGATTCAAGTATGTATTATTCAGTAACTTTGCTTGAACAGGTTTTAGGTATTGAACATGTTAATATCAAAGTCAGAAACTTTATGTATTCTGATGGTAGGTTATATTAAAGAATTCAGATGTATTTTTCTGGATTCAGGTGTATTCAGTTGTATTCAACAACATTCATTTATGTGTATCTTTCAAGTTCAGTTAATACATATTTAAGAATACAAATTCAGATGTATTAAACAGGTTATACGTAATCAGTTGTATTCAGCTATAGTAAGTTGTATTCAACTGTTTTATTCAGCAGTAGTTAGTTGTATTCAACTATATTATTCTGCTGTATTCAATTGTATTTTTTTTATATTAAGCTATATTCAGTTGTACTCAACTGTATTTTTCATATGTATTTCTCTGTATTCAACTATATTCTTTAATATGTATCTTTCAAATTTAGTTAATATTTGTTAAAGAATATAAATTCAGATGTATTAAACATGTTATTGTCTAGTTAGAGAATATAAATTCAGACTTATTGAAATTGTTATATTACAGCTGAGTATATAGATGTATTCCTATGAATTCTAACTAGTTATGTATATAACTCAGGCACTGTCTATAATAAACTGTCAAAGTATATGTGGACACGGTTATATTCGATTGTATCCAATACATTAAGGCAACTATATGTATTCAGAATCTATTCACAAAAGTCATTTCTGAAATTATTACTTGACAATGAGAATTTATTACTTGACAATGTCATCATAAGTATTGACAAATCGTTGAAGCACCAATACATGTCAGAGTGTTAATTATTTATTACGTGGAGCATTTCTACACGTTCGCTTGTTATGTCCTCCAAGCCCATATATGCTACATGAATGTTGATTTTTCGGCTGCAGCAATTCACTTAAAGGTTTATCGCACTTCTTCTTTGGCCTTCCAGGACGTCTTTTCCATTTGGGTGGTAGTACAACCTCCTCTGCAACATGTGCTGGTATATTCCAATCATTTCTGTCCGGTAGCGGGTACACAGGCACATCGTATGTCATTACAACAGTATTTGGTTTGTAATAGTTAGAGCAATATTCTTCTGGCATTAGAAACTTGCTCTTCAATACAACCCAAGTATGTGGGCATGACAATTCATCAACTTGGAACCTCCCACAAACACATTTTCTCTCTAACAGGCAGACTGTGTAATTCCTCCCTCCATCGTTAACCGTATGTAAGTATTCAGTTGATGGTACCACCTACATTTAAAAATAAAAATATAAGTTTTGAGCATATATAACTGAATTACTATATGTATAATGCTGAATTACTCAGTTACATACAACTGAAATATTTGCATACAGATGAATACATCTTATATTTAGACCAGCAGACTATCAACTGTAATTAGTGCAGAACTTATCAAAAGTCTGTTGTACTTTAGGCAACAGGAGGCTAAGAAAACATTAGAAGGATACGTCATGAAAATACATATTAAAATTATATATAATACAGATTTGTTAGTTGTATTCTGATGTATTCGAATAGTTTTTACAAAATGTTTTTAGTTATATTCAGTTGTATTCATATCAGATCTTCGGAAAAATATGTCTTGTATGTGTTTGAATTTAGTTGTATTCATATGTATTCATGGTAGTTGTATTTTAAAAAATGATTGTATTCAGTTGTATTCATGCCATTAATTAGAAAACAATTAAGCTATATACTACAATGATATTAAAATATAACTTACAGTCATACGTGTAGACATTGCCTCATTCAAAGTCAGCATCTCCTAGTATTTTTTTCCAAGTGTCGTGTATGTTTGTGTAGCTTCTTTGCGGTTACTACAATTCCAACGTCCAAACATCTTCTTAACTTCTTCAAGGAAGTTGTATATTGGCAATTCCCTTGCTAAAACTAGTGTGGCATTGATTGACTCAGCAATATTTGACGTCATTGTCCATCCCCTGTTAACAGGTGCATACAACCTAGCCCACTTTTTGTATCGAGCTAACTCTAAGTATTCTTTCACCCTAATATCTACCTTCTCCACCTTCTCCATCAGACTGTCAAATTCAGTTTGTGTGTATGCTTTTGCCATTGAGAAGTATATCTCGCTCAACTTGGCATGACTCCTTTTGAATTTCTTATATACGTTGTTCCATAGATGCCATATACAAGCAAAATACGGTACATCTGGATACACTCTAGATACAGATTTAATGATACTCTCATTTCTATCTGAAATGATGCACATGTTTTCCCTGTCACCGTATGCTATCTTGAATTGCTCAAAGAACCACGTCCAAGCAGCATCGTCTCTGAATCAATAACATCATATGCTAGTGGCAATATATGACCTGTAAATACAATTGAATACATATTTTTAAAACATGTATTTCAATATTTAAAATATTAACAGATTGTATTATAATTCAGATACTCACCTGCACCATCCAACGTGCTTGCCGAAACAAATGTCCCGGTGTAGTAAGATTTTAGGTGACTTCCATCCACAACAACAATGGGTCTACAATGATCAAACCCCTTTATAAAGGCATACAAAGATATATACACGTACATGAATTCATTTTTTGGCGATTTTACGATTCTAATGTGGGAACCTGGATATGTCATATCCATTGTATATAAGTATCCTGGTAATTTTTTTGTATGAATCAGCCGGTTCACCTCTCAAAAAATTCATTGTCTTTTCTTTAGCCCTCCACGCCAACATGTAGCTAACATCTACACCTAAATCTGATTTCATATCATCAATAATATCCTTTGGGGTGTATTTCCTCTTATGATTAGTAAGCTTAGGCCTTATCATACCACATATAAGGCTGCTACTTGCCTGCCGCTGCTCATACACTTTGTCCTTCAACGGACATGTATGGTTATCAATGAATTCTCTCACTTTGAATAGTTCTGATTTGTTAATGCTTGAAGTCTTAAACCTCCATTCACAGTCTTCTAAAATACATAATAATGCATAGCTGCAAAGAATTAATCATTGTACATATGATTAGCATAAGTGTTTACAAAAAAATTCACGCATATACACACAAATACAATATGATTAGTTTACATACTGACATCTATATATAAAAAATTTTATACTACTGAATTCAATTATAGTTATATGCACTTAAATATAATGAATACAACTGAATACAATTTTGGGTATATGCATACACTTAAAACCACAGTAGACAAAATAAGAAAATAATTAGAGCCACTGTAATGTAATTATACCAGTAAAATACATATGAATACATGTATTTAAGGACCATAAACAAACATATGTTAACTACATCTGTGATAATCAAGAGGAAATCCACAGATACGCATAAATACAACAACGTTAAACTTACAGCTCGAATCAATAATAGAAAATACAAAAAAAAACTTAAATACATGCAAACCTAACAGCATTAGATCCATCAACCCGGAATTGAAACCTTCGAGCTATAACATAATTCTCCATCACCTCTTTTAATGTAGCCTTATCTTTATACACTTGTCCAGCTATAACCTCCCTTTGATTAGTTTTTGAAATTATAAAATCCTTGTGGAGTTCGAACACTCCAATCGCTTCTCCTGAATTGACAAAATCTAGAGCCAATTTATCATCTGTATCGGAATCGTACCTTTGAACTGCTTCGTCTATTTGCACAATGTCGCCTTGATTTAAACTACCTCCGGATACAAGTTCTTTTTCAATAGTTGTTATGCACAAAGGATACATACCAAATTCTCTGTTCTCTTTTTTCAATTTTACATACACTCTGTAACCCATATCATTGTGTATTTCCATTGGCGTGTAATTTCCTTCTAAATTTGTATTGAATTTTAATGGACTTTGAGCTCAAATCTATACCCAGTTGATTAGAAATTGAAGCAACCAGATCATTAAAGGAGGCATACTCCTTTATCAGTATTCCCTCAATTGAAAAATCGATGTAATTGCCCTTATCGTTCCACTTGCCAGAATGACGCAACAACACTGTTAAATTTACCATATGTATAAAAGGAACTATACCGTATTTTGTATATAATTTGTATCAATCTAATTTTCCGTGGTTGAATTGATATCTCCGAACAGAGAAAAAGGAGTAGTGAATGGAAGAATTTCGAACAGATGTTGCTCTGGTTTTCGCTGCTTTTTTTAGCTTGAATCATGTATGGCAGAATACAGATTAATGGGTACTAGTTTTTGTTTGTTGAGTTAAATTAGGAGAATATCATGTGATTTGATTTCCTTCCATTATTAACTAGTTTAACCTTCTAGATTTTGCGCAGATACGTTACTGTATTCACGTTAATGTCGTGTGAATACAGTTAAATACATATCAACCTTAGCTGGAATTCCCTTTTTAACGCCTATTTTTTCTATTGTATTAATGAATACAATAGCTTAAATACATAAAATATATTATATAAAAATATAAAAAGTATCTATAACATGTAATATAACAAATGATATCTATAAATAACTAATTAGACCTAAAAAATGATACTTTATGAAAAATTCTCTATTTTAAACCTGTCAAGATGGGCTCACAGGTGTTGGGCCTATTTAATTGGGAAGTGGAGCTACCATTGAAGTCATACTCGCTTTGTATCAAAATTTGCTGTTCGATACACACTTCAGAATTCACATCTGATCACTTCAGAATTCGCAATGAAGTTATAAATTTAAGGTTTCGGAATTAAATCTTAAAAATTTCTATGCTTAAAGTACAACAATTGCATCTCAATCCTAAATTAACTGGAGTTGACTATATGAATTTTCCATGTCCATTTCTCTCTAATCAGGTCCATTTCATTCTAGCAATAAATGATTTGCCTCTAGACAAATTAGCAATAATTAGTCTAATATCAACTATAGCCTATATGGTTCATTTGTTGACATTCTGTTTTGTTCTAGCTAGAGAATAAACAAAAGCATGTTTGGAAAGTCACCTGTAAATTTAATTTGTGTGTAATGGGGTGTAATTATACAGTTTAATATATTTGTTAAGCCAAGTAATTACTTTGTCAGCATGAAATAAGTTGTAATTGAAGGGTGCAACTATACTCTCTAATTCTCAAGGGGAGGTAAGAATTGGTGATAATACTCTATAATTATAAGTTAATAGTATAACTTTTCTAATTTTTTTCCAACTATATTAAGTAAATATTCTTTTTACTATTTCTCTTATTCTTATTTTCAACCATCCAATGTGTTGATTATGATGTGCTTCCATATAATTTCATAACTTCTTATATTTTGCCTTTTTCTCTCTCTTTATTTTCTTAGTGGTTAAATGTAAATTCTATCTTACTACCTTTATTTTGTATTCATTAGTATAAATAATTATTAAGAAAAAAACCTTCTAAACTCATATCTATATTTTTGTTATTTAAAAGTATAACAAATCATAAAATTCATCTTATATTCATCTGAGTTCGTATAAAATTAAATTCATAATTGAAACTTTAATTGATTATATTAAATTAAATTATTAGTTATTGGAAAGATAGTAAAGATACCGAATATTCTTTATGATATTAGTTACTAACTTATAATTTTTATTTTAAAGAAAAATATGTTGTGTAAATACCTAGTTATAAATAATATCTAATACTTCTTATTTATATCTCTAATTGTTACACACTAAAATTTACTTATTTTGTATTTTACTAGCTCTATTGTTTAATGGATATTATAAATATTTATTATAAAAAATACTTTCTACTCATATCTTACTTATATTCAGATGAGCTGGTCAAAAATTAAGTAATTTATTGATTTTTTTAATTAATTTAAGTAACAATATTATTTATTTGAAAGCTACCGTTATTTTTATCACATTATTTATTAATTCAAAATTATTTAATATATTTCTACATACAAATATTTATATTAAATATCTCATTATGAATTAATATTTGATATTTATTATTTACATATATGTTTGTGGCACGGTAAAACTGATCTACTTGTTAATGTGAAAAAAACGTATTTGGTCAATGTGATTACACTTGTCCAACAAAATAAATACTATTTAATTACCAGAGTATGCAATTAATGCTCGTCACATACCTTCTGCCTGTCTCATATGCGTGGAACCTGATCTTTTTTGGCTCCAGCCTGTTCCTCGAATATATAGGGTGTTGACCCAAGTGAAAGTTAGTTTTGAAGACTGACAAAGGAACTCAGGCATGAACCAGGTCCATCCCTTGTGAGCATAGACACATGCAGATTTGAGCATGTGTGATGCAAGTAAAAGAGATAAACCTAACTTGACAGAATTGATATCTCCTGATCGAAAAGATTGCATAACTGATAAGGAGAAGGACTCCTTACTCAAAGAGAACATTATCCAAGATAAGGAAGGAGTTAGAAGTTGAGATCAACTAGAACTCTTCCACCAAGGAAGAGTAGCATTAGAACTCTATTTATTTCTTCATCTACTAACTTTATATATTGCAGGATGTTCTCATTTACAGGTAATGCACAAACGCAGAAGTTAAATAAGAATTGAGAGCAAAATAGCAAGGCTTTTTGCAAGCAGTTCGTGTGTGATTCAAGTGTGCAAACCTGAAGCTACATGAAACAGATAGAAGAACCAGTTCCAAGTGTCTGTCTTTTATTCTAGTTCAATTATAGTAGGTATTTTCATATTGTACCTTTCAACTTTATCTAGAAGCAATTGTAATAGGTACGTTGAGTATTCAAGTTAAAGTTAACTTGAAGTTGTCGAAACAGATAGAGGCTGTTTGCCACAACTGGATTAGAGTTAATCCTAGGTTTATAAAAGTATTTTGTAAATGTAGTTTTTGGCTCAGTGATTTAGGAAAGAGTTTGGGAAAATCCTACTGGGAAGTAGGTTGTGATTCATTCACTTTTTGAGCCAGGTATTTTCCACGTAAAATACTTATGTTCTTTACTTTTCGCATTTACTATTTCTGCAATAGTAGGTTAAGGAACCCTTAGAAGAACCAGGTACTTCCATAATCAGTTTAAGCAAAAAATTGGATAACACACAAATCATTCCCCCCTCTCTTGTGTGGTATTGAAGTATAAAACATCAATTGGTATCAGAGCTGGTT